GATATTGTCCATTGTCGCCGGAAGACGCTCACCTCACCACATTACCCGCGGGGTAACGCAGATCGAAAGCGAAGAGCAATGCAGGTTGAGATTCGAAGAGATCGGAGGAGGAGTAGCAGTTCGACAACTGAAGAAGGAACAACTCTGACCTAACCCCAACACCACCACCACCAGAGACACCAGTCAATATCAGTCCCCAATACACCAGCCGTTGTCCTCCTTTATCGGATTTTATTTCATTTTATTTTATTTATTTTATTATTATTATTATTTTAACCAAATTTGCATCTACCACCTTCTGGTTTTGATTTGTATGCACATAACTCCCCAAGTTATAAAAGTTAGTAAGACACGTACGATAACTCTTTTTATAATTCGCATCGAAAAAGCAAAGGTTTCATAGTTGACCTAAATTCTCTCAACACTAATGAGACAAGTTTTTAGTTTTCAATTTTGATTTTATCTTCAAAAGAGTATTTTTTTAGGGTAAATTATACATTAAAAATACAATTACCTTATAAGTTTACTTAAATATCTTTAATAAAATTATTTTTGTATTATTTTGTTAAAAATATTTAAATAAATTTAAAAGATAAACTATTCTTTCCGTGTACAGTCAACTCTAAAAAACTTGAATCCCTTTTGTCTTACGGTGCAAAATATGTTTATCCTATATTTGGAGGGGGAGAATGTAGCTATAACAAACCACAAAAGAGTGTGTATGCAATTTTACTTTTTATATATGATAAAAAAAAAAAAAATTTTGTAGTAACATTTCGGAATCCAGAAACCACATTGGATTCTGATTAATTCGAAATCGAGTCGAGTCGGACTTCATACGGAAGAAGTTCTTCCAGTACCTATTTTTCCATTCACAAGACTCGAATTTAAAATCTTACTTAAGGAGGAACTAAATTCCTTCTATTCGGACTAACAGATTGTTGATTAAAATTTTTTTCTTCGTAAAACTGAAAATCATTTCTTTCGCTTTGCGTCAAAGTTACAGTTAACTACAACATGAACATCGACAAAATCAAATGTTTTAGTCTGGGAAATGTGAAGTCAGCATCAACATTGATTCTCAAAGACAGATTGTTGTTTGAAAGAATGACGGATTCAAGACTTTGAAGCTTTGAGAACACATCAAACTCTACAAAACCACTCAAATTATTGACCGAAAACTCAAGGTGGCATTGATCCATTAAGTTAGTTATGCGATAGGTCTAGGTGGGATAGTATTGAAAACGTACTCCCTAGAAAAGGAATGGGACCAAAAGGCTGATTATTTGAAAGATCAAGAAGGTTAAGCTGCGTGAGGTTTGTAAGTGATGATGGGATTTGACTCCAAAAATTGTTGTGTCGGAAGCTTACAAGAGTAAGCTTAGACAACTTCCTTATTGAAGCTGGAATGGAACATTTCAAGTTGTAGCTAAAGAGAACTAAAGAATGTAATGACTTTAGATCTCCTATTGACTTGGGAAATTCCCTTCCCCCACAATCCTTGCGGTTTACTTCATATGGCAGGAAAAAAAGGGAAAAGTTTTAAAAAATGAGAGTAAAGTTACAATTCTGCACCTAGTTTCAGTTAATCTCTTAGCTCCTTAGTTGAGTTAACATTAATGCTTTGTTATTAATTCTTTGTAAACCTAAAACTGGACGAGTGAAAGCCTCGTGTATAGCCCCACATGGGGAATTTTGGATTAATGGAGTAAGCTTACCATTCTCTTAGAAAAGTGTTTTAGGATTCATTCACTGGTCCAGTTAAATAACCAAACAAGAAAGGAAGTCATAGAATACACAAATCAAAACCAACTTGAAAAAGAGTGATGATGTAAATATTGTGCTAAGCACACAGAATGAAGTCTACTGGGCAGGTCATGCTAGAGGACAGGTTCAAATGCAAAATATTAGTTTAAATATAAAACAACATTCAAGAATGCAAAGCTGCAATTGACAATTAGATCTTTAAAATTGAAGAAACTATGGGAACCATGAAAAGTGAACAAGTTAAGTTTAACAAATTAGAGGAAGAAACTCAAATAGATAAATAGAGAAAACAAGGAGTACAAAATCATTGAACCAGACAAGTGAGGAAGTTGTTGGTTCATTGACATCTTTACACCAAATGTCATAAATCTAACCCCCAATCCCCTAAGCAGCCCACCTCCATCCGTGGATTGCAGTAAAAATTATTCAAATTAAGTGATCGAAATCAAAACCGTGTCATAAAGTAGTCAGTGGTACTGGAAACCGTATTATTTGTCTATCTATGATATACTTAATAAAGTCTCAACTTGTGAGGATCATTTTGTAGAACCTGCAGAAGGAAACAAATCAAATGGCATTGTAGAACTTGCAGAAGGAAACAGATCAAATGGCAATAATGCTTTGGAGGAAAATCAGCAATCAAAGAAATTGTAAAATGCAACCGTTGGAGATATAGCCGTTG